TGAAAAGGAGCCCTGAGACTTTCTTCATTTTCAGAAGCTGAGGAAATCTAGACTTGCCACATTTTCTAGACTTGTGTTGGCTTTCTTGGATATATTTGCTTCAGGGTCTGTACGAGAGACTATTGGGGCTCCAACTTTCTGCACAGTTAGAAAACAACATGAGTGTCGAGCACGTTCGACCTGTCTCAAAATTTCTCAGGTCTTCTTTGTTAGCGTGTTTTAATCACTTGCAGTGCCATAATCGTTGACACCATCTTTGTAGTGTTTACGACCTCCTAATGCATTTACGACAGGTCAATCGGGGTCCTATATTTTGGGCTGTTTACGGCACAGTGTAAATATACGAGGTCTTTGTGAAACAGGGTAAAAAAGTAAGAGGTGGTCTACGACCTGCTTTACGAGGTCGTACCGGTAAGAGGGCAAAGAACACATAACAGGTGTAACCAGGTAGCCAGATGAATTGTGAATTATTTTACGACCTCATCAAACAGGGACAGTCTGTGACGTCTTAGTTAAGGTCATGTTGCCTACACATCGCCATAAAATATAGAAATACGATGTTATTAAAGTTTAAAATTAAAATGAACTTGTAAATACATATGAAACAAGAAATTGGAATTCAGTGTAACCATAGTTGTTTGTGGAGTCTCTTTTTACTTTCACACGAGAAAATTCGGATCGGCTGAAAAAGTAGGTCGATCATTGTCTGAATAGGTTAATGAGACTCATGTTTCGGTTTGTACTGTAACAGTGCCCAGGGGGAGGTGCACACCACACACCTCACCCCCGTTTCGTGTTGTTACTGTTGCTGTGCCCAGGGGGGCAGGTGCACACCACACACCATAACCTTGTTTCACGCTGTTACTGTTGCTGTGCCCAGGGGAGGTGCACACAACACTCACCACCCCCGTTTCACGCTGTTACTGTTACAGTGCCCAGGGGGAGGTGCACACCACACACCTCACCCCCGTTTCGTGTTGTTACTGTTGCTGTGCCCAGGGGGGCAGGTGCACACCACACACCTCACTCGTGTTTCACGCTGTTACTTTTGCTGTGCCCAGGGGGAGGTGCACACCACACATCTCACTCGTGTTTCACGCTGTTACTTTTGCTGTGCCCAGGGGGTCAGGTGCACACCACACTCGTGTTTCACGCTGTTACTTTTGCTGTGCCCAGGGGAGCAGGTGCACACCACACACCACACACCTCACTCGTGCTGTTACTTTTGCTGTGCCCAGGGGGAGGTGCACACCACACACCTTACCCCCGTTTCACGCTGTTACTGTTGCTGTGCCCAGTGGGGAGGTGCACACTACACACCTCACTCGTGTTTCACGCTGTTACTTTTGCTGTGCCCAGGGGGAGGTGCACACCACATACCACACACCACACATCATAACATTGTTTCACGCTGTTACTGTTGCTGTGATCAGTTATTACAGGATTTCACTGATGGCCTAGAAGTGAGACCCCCAAAATGATGTAAATGTGGTGCAATTCTGGCGACCGTTTGTCATTAGCTACCATGTGTGACTACCCTTTTACCCTGAGGGGCCCTTTTAAGGTGAAACATATCATTTCAGTAATGTTTTAACCGATTAATGAATGGTTTTATTTAATAAATCTTGTTTGGATTGACCGGTTTCATCAAAATAGTAGTTTGGCGTGCTCAGATGATGATTTATAATCGTGGCCAATACTATTACATATATGCTCATCGCAAAAATATTTTGGTAAGGTCAAAGGTCAAAGGTCAGTGTTAATAGAAAGGGCATTTGATGAGAAATATATTAGTTAAACTCTACCAATTTAAGGTATTGTTACCAAAATTATGTCTTTCTAATTCAGCTATATCATTTGAAGATCATATATACCTTTGCTTGGCATTGTATGCATGAAAAAAAACATAACAAGGAAACAAAAGTTGGTAGTTTGTGTTTAGATCAGCAAAATATTACATAAAACCTGTTCAACAGTAACAGCTCCATGCTTTATATAGTATCAACGATACCAAATATGTCGAACATACTGTTGGACTATCATTAAAATCACACAACATAACAGAGAGTTCTTAAATGTATAATTCTTTTATTCCAGATGTCTATCTTTGCTCATCAAAGAACGATGAGTCAGTCATGTAATCATCATGCAAGCAACATTTCCTTGATATCAATTCGTATCTATTGTTCTTAATAGTCATAGTGTATTCCCAGTTGACATGTTAGTCAAAGTCAACAATGTCAAGATCACGGGAACATGTTTCAGATCCACATCCACATGCTGAAGTATACAACAGCTTCAACCTCTTACAGCGACACCTTCTTGTACATTGACTTTTACATGCATAGATATGAAGCTGAAGAGGGTCCACGGAAACGATTTAGTCTTCACTTATTTGCAACTTTATTATTGCTTTAAATATTAAGTGCTTACTTTCGTGGACATGGATATTCCTTGATACTATTCATATTAACATCTTGCTTCTACTGTAACGTTGATAAAAATATGCAGGCCTCAGTGTTAGTACTATGTAATGACATACACAAAGGAGTTACACATAACATGGCCATGACACTATGAGCATCGATCCTCGCAAGTGGGGTACGATGGCATGCATCAAACAAGTGAGAACGACCACCTGATCACATTAGTTCCCTGTTACGACAACATGGGTTGCTGAAGATCAATTTTGACCCAACATATTTGTGAACCTGTGAGAATGGTTAATGAAAATATGCATAGTTGTAGATCATCCCAAATGCTATTATTGACAACACAATGTATGTCGCCAATATCAACTGGTCTCTGCATAAGTCGTAACCCAGGGAGCCAATTGTCAAGTTGCATTTATTTACTATCAGCTATTCAATACACCACAGAAGTTGGTATAGATGTTAACAGAAGCTTTAGAATTAGATTTTGCGCGGAAAACTTAACAACGTATATATGTTACAGGGAATGTGTGAAACCAGGGATTTCACGTAATCCCTGAAAGATTCAGTGAGACTGGTCATGTACCCTCCAACTGGGCCCAGGGGATCATTACCCCTACCCCTAAGTCTGGAGCTGACAACCTGAGAGACCCAATGTCTTATCTCAGCATCACACTAGTGCATCTTATTGTTATGATTAATTATTTAATCAATATTCCTTTTGGAGTTTCAAAAGTTACAGACGTTGTTTTAGCGATTTCGTTTAAAAATGGAAACAGGGCCTTTTACAAGTTGGTAGTTTAACTGGTAGGGGAGGTAATAAGTTACACACGTACTGTACTTTCAAGGTGGATATTTGCAGTGATTTATATGTTAATTGTAATGTCTCGCTCTATGAGAAAAGCAATAGCTTTGTTTAGATGTGCGGTAGCGCCGCTTAGAATCGAAACTGCAAAGATTTTATTGCATTGTCATGTTTTATTGCATTGTCCTTTGTATGCTGATGAGCGATTGCAACTTTTATCTAAATGTACAAGTCTTTTAGATGTTTTTAAGCTAGATGTTTTCTTCTAGCTTGTCCAAGTGTATCGTTTTTATCTGTCAAAACCTGCCTTAATATTCTTAAAAAGCGTACTGCAAATTGGTATATATCTTCTTAATGTAACTTGTACTCTTATTATTGCATTTTTAATATTCATACATTATACTCTGTATATTGTGGCACAAATGTCTCTCATAATGCTGTACGGAATGGCTCAACATTTTACAGTGATATAGCATCATTCGTTTTCTTTATTGAAAATAGACGTTTTTAAAAGTTTAAACAGACTAGGCCATTCATAGAAATAACTTGGAATATACATCATCCCGCTGTTGAAGAAGAGCTTTGGGATATGGCTTTGGGAAGGAAAAGGTATTTTTCAAAGCACATATTTCATGTATGTTCCAGCGCCTTCTTTCTACGAATAATGTGACAATGGACTGTTTCTCCACACAGCTGTGATTTTCGAGTTGAATTGTGGTGGTCAGGGTTTCAAGAATTGTAACCGTTGTCCTAACCAGTGTAAATCGATACCTTATGTTTTAATGTGCTACTGAAGTGTAATAGCTTGTATGATAACAGGCTATCTTGTCCCAACAAATGAATTTTATCAGGATATACTCTATACTCGCATTATAAATTTGGTGATCTCTATTTCAATAAGGGCTTACAGGGATTTCATGAAATCCCTGAGCTAATATTTCAGTAATTTCATGAAATCCCTGGAAATTTTAGGGAATACATGAAATCCCTGGGGGTCACAGGGATTTCATGAAATCACTGACTCTTTCAGGGATTACGTGAAATCCCTGGTTTCGCACATTCCCTGTAACATATACATATTGACAGTAGTGGGTGACCTCGCCAAGATGGACACTAAAAGAGCAACTGTCGTTCATTTCCCGATTTCAGTATGTCGTATGACTACGCTGTCCCTCAAGCAGATAGTAATGAATTGACAATAGTTAGCGCATCATAGAATTGGCTCACGCAAATCAGCTGATGAACATCAACAAAACAACGTCAATTCAAAAACATTGACAGAACTCACCTAGATGAACACTACCATGTCGGCTGTAGGCAACTGCATTGTTCCAACAGACAAATATGTTATGAAGCCATCAGCTGTGATCAGCAGAAATGATGTTTTAAATGATGGACATCTTCTGCCTGCCCAGATCTATATATTTATTTTCCGAAATACGAAAGCTAATATTACTAGGAGATTAGGTTTTTTAAAATTAATGCGTTTCCCTCCTTGTTAGGTCCACATTCGCTGTGCATCGCTCTGTCAGTGACAGATAGGTCTGTTTCTTAGAGTGGATATGACGTACACGTATGTTACATTAGCAGTCCGAAAATAATACAACTGATTGAATCAATGCAAGCTGGGTTTTAGAACGTCCCAACTCAAAGTAACCAATAAACCTTGAAAAGTCGCACATCTGTCGATGCGAATTCCACATAGCGACCGTAGAACAGAGCAGACGACTCTTTAAGCCTCGCTTTCGGTTTGACCTCTGACCTGTCTAATTATGGACAATGCTGGTTCCAATACGGGCCGCAAGATTCCACATGATGCTGCGAAGATCTAAAAGACGAGCATTCTCAATGTTAACTTGACAGCGACGTCGCGATGGGAATTTGGCCAATTTTTAAACATAACGAACACATCTCATACGACGATAGCAGATCTGTTAGATATCGCTTTACTTCAGCACGTTGGAACTTTATAGTCTCCAGAGTCCTGTCCTGAAGGTAAGTCGGGGCAATACGAACTGTTATGGCATGGAATTGTTTGTATGGTCCTGAGTGTGTGTTTGTTCAGCGTAGGTGTCATTTTGGTAGGCAGATGTCTGATATTATTTTCGGTGCATCATACTGGGATAGTTGGTACATTTTGGTAACTTTTGGACCACCGCCATCTGTTTGGTTGTCGTTACCGTACTCAGTCCAAAAAACTTGAATCTTTACTTTTTTGTTTTTCAGCACATTTTATCAGCGAGTAAAGCTTAAACATGTTGTTGTAAAGTATTTTCTTTACTGATTAAACCGCATTTATTTCAGTTTTCACTTAAATCTATTTTCTAAGCCTGATAGAGCTGGCTCAACTTGGTTTTGGTTTTATTTCATGAAATCTAAATATATTCCACAGTGCAGGGCAAGTAACCACGCTGAAAGAGACGTTCCATGAGCATTGAGGTTCCAACTAATGATGCGTTATTGTTTTGTCAAATTCTCATTCATTCTTCAAGACATTTTGGGGAAAAGAGCCCATATTTCAACTGGTCTTTCACCCAGTATACATCAAGTACATAAACTGTCCTATGACAAAGGTAGTGACTCCCAAACAGACAGTATTGTAGTACAGTAGGATTGGAGTTTCTTAATGATTTGTAATTTTGTGTGTTAAGTGACAAAATACATTTTACATTATTGGGTCAGTTATCAGAGACAAAAGGCTACCAAACCAGTATACTTCACAAAGGAGAGTCATATTATTTACACAGGTATCAATTACAAACCTCTGGAAATCCAAAGAGGGTCATTAACAGGATGCAAACTATTACATAGAGTATGTATCATGGCTCCATATAAGGGCCGTATCGGCGTATGTACGGATAAAAAATATGCACGATACGGTAGGAAATAATTTAGAAACAGTAGCAGATACGCACCACAGCAGTGGTGTGTGGTCTTAGAATCATTTACAGACGTATTTATCTGAAAAAAGTATTGTTTTATTGATTTTTACCTGTTTACACAAGAGTAGCAATGTTGTGGTGCATATATGAAACGAAACACAAGATCACATACTCCATTAAATTCAATTCAGTACTCTAAAAGTTTTTCCAGTACTCCTATATTTTAAAATAAGGAGTACGTACTCCTGATGTTGAAAAATTATCTGGAGCCCTGATGTATACAACATAAGAATGGATGAGCATAATATTAACTGATAGATTTGTTATTCAATATTCAGTACAATCTACAAGTGTATTTATTTTTGGTTATTGTCTAAAATTGCAGGCAAACATTAATGCTCTTTATTCTGTGCCACAAATATGTGGCAATGACATAATAAAATACAGTTGTCGGGCCAAGCTGTGACATGCATCCACTGGAAAAAATGTGTACCACCAGAGCATTGTACATGTAATTTATTAACATAAGTTACATGGTGCCCACATCTAGTTTACACTTTATTCTCACTGAGAAATTAATGTTGTAAGTTACAAATGGAAATGATATGAACTAGTGAGCATAAAACAGTCTGTATCTGCAAAAACAGGTTCATTATTTGTTCGTTGTTTGTTTTTTCTTTATGGCAAGATTAAGGACCTCATTCCGCAAAGCTTTTATAGCACTACAACTACGATGATCACTTGTATAACAGGGCTCAGATGTTTTGTGGAACTTTGCAATGAACAGGGAAATGACATGAATGAAAATAACAGTAATTTTTGACAGATGGCGCAATATGATTTATTAGTACACAATGCCATTTAGAAAGATTACACTTTCTGAGTAAAGTACAGATTCTAGTACTTTTGTCGAGTTGAATCCGACCGGTGATTCGAACCCACACCCTCACCCCAGCTGCGCTGGCTGGGTGGGTAAGATGACTGACTTTGTGTGCTGGCGATTAGGTGCTGGACGCTGAGATTGTGGTTTCGAATAGGTCTCAACCTAAAAAAAAAAAGAACAGAATCAATCATGCAGTAAAATGTACCTGATATTTCAGCACCTTTGATAAGAAGATATGATGAAATAGTTACAAATATTTTTTGTATATATTATGGTGAATTTCATGACACATATTACCCACAAAACAAATAAAACATAAAAATGTGATAAAAACCTTTTTACAAGTGATTATAAAGACATATTCTTTCTAAGCCACAATGATCCAGTATTGAACTACTTCACAAATGTAAATCAAGTTTTTAGACCAATGTGTAACTTGTGCTAGAAATTCAGTCAGATGAGACCTGGCTCTTCGGGATATAATCTGTGTTGCTACCACTTGTGTATGAGATAGTCAGTGTGGTACTTTTATGTAAACTTGCCTGTCCCTGTTTCTAAATTATAATAAGTATCAGGAGAGACTGACAAGGCCTGTCAGAAGAAGGCCTTTATGAGCTCCACCCTTGCTGCAAGTGTTTGCAAAGTGTGATTTATTTTAAGATTTCATCTATGCCCCTTGCTTTATTCACATGTGATCAGTGAGTGCCACTATTACCAGGTTGTTTATTAGGGAGCCTGGTTCATCCCTGACCCTTGTTCATTGGTTACAGGGCACCTGCTAGTTGTGACTTGGTATACACAGGTAAGGCAAATTGGTTTTCATTATTTTGTGGGTTACAAATCATATGGCTGAGGCCAAAAGCTACTATTACAAAATTCTGAGAGAAAAATATTATTTGTTTTGGTGACTGTGTTATTTTTTTGTGAATTTAAAAACAAATGAGCCAAAAGTAATCAATTAAATTTTTTTAATGAATATTTTTTGATTGATTGAGCATTCTTTTTGAAACCTTTTTAAGATGAAGAGAGTGTGTATGCACAAATTGTTAAGTCCTTTTTCATGATAAATTATTATCAAAGAACTAGATATTACCTTTTCACTATTCATCATAAGATGTGTGTCAGCCTGCAATATGATAAGAGAATTTACTGTCTAGTAATTTTTTTCCTGAAATCATTGTTATTGGATATAACTGCCTTTGTAAATAATGAGTGGGTCAATGTATGCTTTTGGCTGATAGTCCACTTGTTGACTTCTATGCCAAATTCAGACTTAATGATAGAGGTTCATAGGGAAATCTCTCAACAGCTTAATAGTTTGGCATTTATAAGAGTATATATTTAACTTTTAAAGATATTTTAACTTGTGGTGAAAAGTCTTAATCTGTAGGGAATGCCTTTATCGTAGTGGGAACATTTTTAAGCAAAAGTATAATCATATGAGCATTTATATATTTATGTCAATTTCTAATGTTCGGTGGCATTCCCACGATTACAGTGTTCTGATGTCTATCAACTTGGTTAGAGTACACTCAGGTAGTAGTTTCAAGAACTCAGCTGGTCATTCACTTTCATGGCATGGCATACAATGTTGGCTTTTTTTTACTCTTTCTACATGTTAGACTGTATGTTTAACAATTTGACATTGTGTGAGAGATTCCTGACTTCATTGAATCATAATGCAGATAGACTAGCTGAATATGTGTCATTAACAGGGCTCCAGATAATTTTTCAACATCAGGAGTACGTACTCCTTATTTTTTCAATATAAGAATACTGGATAAACTTAAGAGTACATTTTGAGTACTGAATGGAATTTAATGGAGTATCAGTAATCTTGTGTTTCGTTTCATATATGCACCACAACATTACTACTCTTGTGTAAACAGGTCAATAAACAATAAACAACACTCTTTCAGATAAATACGTCTGTAAATGATTCCAAGACCGTACAGCATTGCTGTGGTGCGTATGTGCTACGTTTTCTAAATTATTTCCTACCATATCTTGACATTTACGCCGATACAGTCCTTATCTGGAGCCCTGAATAACATAATAAATGTCCTTCCATTGATTGATTCATGTAAGCAGATACCACAAAGCCTTGCAGACAGGCATGGACAAACAGTAAAGTATTCTGTTATAAAAAAAGTATTCAGGTCATATTGAACAAATATGGAGAAAAGCTATGATTTCAGACTGAATGTACTTCAACTCATTATATACCGGTATGTTAAAGGCAAGGAGGAGTAACTTGCATTAGTCTTTGCTTCTTTGAGATAATTCAGTCTGAGTTGAAAATGGATGGGTTTTGTGTCTTGGCATGACTTATGAGCCATATAACCATGCACAACTGAACCGTTAGCAGAGAAGGGGCGGCGGGGTAGCCTAATGGTTAAAGCGTTGGCTCGTCACGCCGAATCCCCACATGGGCACAATGTGTGAAGCCCATTTCTGGTGTCCCCCGCCGTGATGTTGCTGGAATATTGCTTAAAGCGGCATAAAACTAAACTCAGTCAGTCAGTCGTTAGCAGAGATTCAGTTACATTTTCACTTTCGTATTGCCCACACTTTCCACACCTGAAGGGGCGGTGGGGTAATCTAGTGGTTAATGCATTCGCTTGTCATGCTGAAGACTCAGGTTCGATTCCCGACATGTGTACAATGTGTGAAGCCCACACTGGGATATTGCTGAAAACAGTTTGTTGTGTTCTGTTTTACATTTAATGTTTGTGGAATTTAACATTAAATAATTTGTCCATATATCATGTTTACAGGAAAGAAGTGCTAAAAAAAATTATTGTTCCAATTTTTTAGATAGTGGTAGGCCTGGAAATTACAAATTTTAGCAATAGAATTATTGATCATTTTTATAAAGAGATTTTTTTTATGTTTGAACAAGGTAACTATTATAACAATGAAATGAAATGATGTGCTGTTAGGAATACGTGACTACTCTTGAAATGTGTTATGAAATTTAATTCATTCGCCATAAGCCAGACACAGTGCTCCTAGAAACGACAGATAACAAACACAGCACATCCCATCTAATCAAGAAATATTTGTTGATCTTTAGCAATCCATAGTGGGTATAAAGCATTTAAGACGATTGTTGGCTTTAAGGCGAACAATCAACAAGGCATTTATCGGAAGGGATGAGATAGTTGTTGACAGGACAAACAAGGCCGAGGCAGTTGGGAGCAAGTAGGGCACTGTGCACACCAGAACAT